CATACGTATTAACACTGATTTTTTAAACAACTCTGTGGAACAGAATGCGTCTTGAGAAACTGACGGTAGCTTACCAGTATCTAATGAAGGGATTAATCGTCATTTATGAAACCCGAAAGTAATTTTCAAAGCTGAGAATATGTTTACTCAAAATTAGTAAACACTATCAAACGTATTTTCTGTTAAGGTTGGTAGCGGCATACGGGGCGGAATATTTGTACAGCGGTGACTCGGTCCCCGAAAACTCGTTTTACACAGACGTGTAGTAGAATGACACAAAGTGGCAAATTCGTATCCATTAACACGCCCTACTGACTGTGTTGGGGGTCTCCACAGATAAGGTTTCAGTTCCGACCAGCCACACACAAAGTTTCTCACTTTACATCGTCATTTTACCTGCATCAAATGAAACATCAGTAAACATTTTGCAAATGAAATTGTGCCTTTACCTGCAGCTGTGACCTCGTCGAAGTCAGGGTCATCCAATGCTGACGTCAGCAGATCGTCGCTGCTCATTGGCTGGTGTTGTCGCGGACCTAACATGGCTCCTGCGGGCTTCTCCCTCAAGCAGAGGAAGTTGAACGCTGTGAAAAAATCCACCAACCCGCATTCAGTTTCAAATGGAAGACATGTTGTTACAGTGGATGTTAAAAAGCGATTATTTTTTTAAAATTCTGTTAAAGTACCTAAAACGGTCTGGATATCCGCTCACTCAATTTTCCTTTCGGGACCATCCTGAGTTCATCCTTGTCTTCTCACTTATTACTTGCAGATAAACATCCCGACTAAGAAGATTTCGAGTGGCGAACAATAATCGCATAAAAACCTCACTTAGATGCTAACTTCATGGAGTCTACTTAGAAAGCTAATAATTGCTCAAATATCAAAGAAGTTCTTTGCGCCGTTCATTCGGCCCAAAGATTCATTACCGTTTTCACAAATGCCTCTACTGGTCCCTACCCTGAGCCAGATGAATCCAATCTATATCAAATCATATCTTATTAAGATCCATCCTTTGAGGTCTATACTTAATTCTAACAAATTGAATTTTTCTTTCACGTGTCCGGACAAAAATGTTGTACTCTGTGCATTTCTTACCTACTTCATGCATTCCGTATGCTCCTGGGGTCTTTCGCCGTGTAGTGTTATTTTACAGACGTTTCAAAGGTCACCCTGATTATGGAGGCAGCAAAAAACCTCATTCACTAACGCTGTTTGGAACGTAAAACTATTATATATTTGCAGTAAACTTATTTAAAAATCTAAAATAAAAAATTGCATTCAGTTCAACATGAATTTGGGTAAATCTCCCTTATCTGATTCTGTAATTCGTAAAAATCAAATATTCTTCGGACGTATAAAACACCATACCCTTCACGTCAAAAACATTTCAGTTTCTAACAAGTATCGTTATCATATTAATTACATATCAGCTTAAAACACGTAACTAAACCATACTCATGTCAAAAAGAGGTCATGTATAGGTCAAGGTCATATGGAAGTCACGACAAAATCGGACTAGTTTCCCAGACACGGGTCTTTAAATTTCTCAAGGTCATATATTTTCATACTTAAAACTGCCAAACGGTAAATAGCTGGTTAATCATACTCATGTCAAAATGACATGCATAGGTCAAGGTCATATGGAAGTCACGTCAAAATCGGTCCACTAGTTTCCCAGATATGGGTCATTAAAATTCTCAACGTCACATATTTTCAAACTTATGTCCGTCAAACGGTAAATAGCTGGTTAACCATACTCATGTCAAAATGCGGACATGCATAGTTCAAGGTCATATGGAGGTAACGACAAAATCGGTCCACTAGCTTCCCAGACACGGGTCTTTAAATTTCTCAAGGTCATATATTTTCATACTTACTACTGTCAAACAGTAAATAGCCGGATAACCATACTCATGTCAAAATGAGGTCATGCATAGGTCAAATTCATATGGAAGTCACGACAGGTAAGGTTAGATTAGGTTAGGCTGGGTTAGGTTAGGTTAGGTTTATGTATTTCGTTATTTTCACTAAAGCTTCGAATATTTCTGTGGCGAATCGAAACCTGTGGAACCAATTCGTCACGCCGTTACGGTACGTCACGATTCGTCACTGTTTGTCACGATTAGTCACGCATGGTAACGTTTTGTTAAATACCTCATATTTCGACTCCTCTAGCCACTTCTCGTCACGCCTTTACTGTAAATCACGTGTAGTCACACTTCGTCACGCTGTCACGCATGGTCACGCTTTGTTCAAATTCGCCATATTCCACCTCTTCTGACATCTCGTCATGCCTTAACTGTAAATCACGCCTAGTCACGCTTCGTCACGCTTTGTCACGCATGGTCACGCTTTGTTCAAATTCGTCATATTTCGACTCTTCTGGCAACATCTCGTCACGCCTTTACTATAAATCACGCCTAGTCACGCATCGTCACGCTTTGTTCAAATTCGTCATATTTCGACTGTTCTGGCAACATCTCGTCACGCTTTTACAGTAAATCACGCCTAGTCACGCTTCATCACGCTTAGTCACGCTTCATCACGCTTTGTAAATCTTCGTCACATTTCGACACTTATGGTAATCTATTGTCACGACGTGAGCGCAGGTCACGCTTAGTCACGCTTTGTCACGCTTGAACACGCGTGTTCACCATGTCACGTTTCGTTAAGTCTAATTTATCTTACGTACAGTTCGGTTATTTT